GAAGTGGCCACCAATGCAACTTCCTCTTGAGTATCTTTATAATTTAAGAGGTGAGTTACGTTCCGCTACTCCTCTTAGGAGACAAAAAAAAAAAAAACCCATGGATTATAAACGTCAAGCTCATCTATAACTGCTAGGAAATCCTAGAAAAGTAATTCCCAAAGTGCACTGGTTCTACAGCCATCCGCCCCCACCCCCCACCAAAAAAAAAAAACAATAGAACTATACAGGACATAGGTTAAAAAAAGACACTGTCAACGTGACCAGGTAACGAGCTTGCTCCAGCATCTATATTTGGGACGTGGAATGGCTGAGCATGCGGTGGGCAAATGTTCAGGGCTGAGGGGGCCTCCCTCTTCTTGAGCCAAGGTCCCTGCAAGAGCTTCTTTGTTCTGGAGTGAGAACATGTTACTATAGTTTTATAATTAAACCAGAAAGTTGGTCCCTAGTTTTGGGAAGTTATTCAGCACTGAGTTACCATTTTAGCAAAACAGTTACCTACACCTGCACATACTCATTTAGCAGTTCCATACTTATGTGATAAATCACAGAGCTGATTGTTTATATATCTCTATTTTCGGGTGCCTTGCACGCAAAAGCTTACAAGTCAATCATCATCTAAATAGACATTAATTTAGATGTCTAAATTATAGACATCTATATAGACATTATAGATGTCTATGTCTAAACAGACATTAATAATACAACTTTATAGTTATACCAGATACTTTTTCTCAAAGTGCTTTCATACATTATCTCAATTATTAAAATGATACAAAACAATGAAGTTTGTTTTTAAGAAAAAGGAATGTAGGACTAGGTTTTTTTAAGTTGCTACTTCTTCATTACAAAGTGCAGATTGCTGTGTCACTAAGGTCTGTCCAAAAGAATGACCCCATATAATTTTTTAAATTACTGAGTTCTACTGAATGCCTGCTTTGCTAGTGTAGCCATTACTTAACATTCAAGTCCCTTACGGTCAGAGAGTGCCAGGAAAGTGTGCTTTAGAAAGTGTGCAGCACCGTGCAAGCGGATTGTCTATCTCAGTCACTTTTTTTGCAGTGTCTCACAAGGCAACAGGAATGGTGGCAAGACCCCACAATGAGAAAGTGAATTAAGAACCACACACTCTAGCCTTGGCTCTGCCACTAATTAACTGCTCTGAGCTAATGGGCAAGTAACTTCAACATCCTCTCTTCCCACTTCCTAAGCTGTGAAGAAAAAAGTCGGAGTGTTACTGCTACTGACCGTGCTGGAGAGACTCTCAGCAAACACACTGGTTGAGACGCAGCCCCATGGGGGCTCCACGGGGTGAGGTCAATGCATCAGGATTTTTGTTGGTGTTTTTTTTTTAAACCCCAGGAAATTTTGCTGCACATCCTTGGCAAAAACTCATTGGATTAAGTGTTAATAACAGTAGTAGTTAACATTTGTGGAGTACTCATTACATGCCAGACACTCAAGCTAAGTATCTTACACACATTATCTCATTTAATCCTTACAACAACCCTGAGGTAGTTACTATTATTATCCCTGTTTTCCAATGAAGAAACTAAGGCCGAGGAAGGTTAAGTGTGACTTGCCTTCTAGACTAGCTTTAGAGTCTAAACTCTTAATCACTTATCTAAACTGTATCCTTAAAGCCCAAAAGCTCCATGACTTTGTTAAATAAATATGGGTGGTGCCTTAGCAAAGTCAGCATTTTATTAACTGGGCACTATTTTACCAGTCAACTTTCAGCTGAAGTGTACAAAAATTCTAACTTAAACCCCATAATTTAGCTAAAAAAGGGTCTAGCGGAGACCTAATAACCTCAATGTATAGAGGTCACCTGGAAAAACACTGAATAATTTCTCAGGGCCATTTTTTTTTTTAAGGCTGTATTTCTGAAAGTCACGATGGAGATCTGTAGGAAAATATACACATTTTAATAGTACACAAAGCCTTTTAAGAAAATACTTCATGGAAAGCACAAACAAGATGTATTTTACACAACACTGCATTGTAAGGTGGTAAATCTAAACTGAAATCACATTATCAGTACATGAGAAGATTCAATCTGTGGTAACCCCAAAGGGATGCGCACATACAACCACAAGTTTTCAACACCTTGTAGAAGGGCTTTTGCTCCTGCTGTCTGCTTTGTTTTTAAACTAGACAGAATTAAACTACATTTTTAGTTTCTAAACGTAGATTTCTCTGCCTTGAATTCAAATGTTTAAATTTATATACGGTTAGTTTTTAAAAAATCTGGTCCCTTTCGAGGAGAAAAAGGAAAAAAACCTAAGTTACATTTTTATAGTAAGTTGACAGTGTCTCTTTAACCCGAACCCTGAGCCCTCAACTCCTGAAATTACAGTTAAAGCATCATGTGGATGGAGTGTGCTGCAACAGTCAATGCTACTCTTGACAGTGTTGAGAAAAGAAAAAAAGAATCCATTCGTGGACATACTGAGCACCTACTATGAATGAGACAGAGCCAGGTGCTACCCCTGAGTAAGACCCAGCCCTCACCCTCAAAGACTGCTCTTTGGTGAGAAAACCAGGGAGCTTAAATACACTCAGTAGTGTTCCTCCAAGGCTTATTTTCAGAGCTCTCAAGGAAAGACCCCTTGCTTTAAAATAAAAGAAAGAAAGAATAAAATCAATCCCCTGAAAAACGATTCTAATCCCTCAACTTGCATCCACAATGACAGGGATAAACTTAAAAAGCAGCATAATAATATTCTAAGTTTTAGCTTTCCCTGCCCCACCCTTAAAAGGCTAACTGCTAAAACAATTTCAAGTTTATGGAAGTATATGAAGAAGGAGAGTGGCGAAGAAGAAGGTGGCCGGAGGATTGCTGGTTTTCAAATCCAAGTTAAAGGGAACTCTTCCAAACATTACAAAGAGATTAGCCAGCTCTCTGCTTGCCCGTGTTCCACCAAGTAACAGTCAGAGGGATCACCCAATCCCTGAAAGGAATGCCCAATACTGTCTCCTCCCTGCTTTTTCTTCTCTTGGCCTGGGACTCCTCTGGAACACCCATAGAAAGAATCAATTCCTTTCTTTCTAATGAAAACTAAAATTTCTCCTTGGTCAAAGATGCCAAACTCTGTCCAAAACCATTTTTCCCCTTAGCCTGATTAGTATAATCTCAGCAGTTTTAAATTTCATTATCTGCTACCAAGCAAAGATGATGAAAAAGGAGAAAGAAAGATGTGTATTCACACATAACAATACTGCACTAAAGAGCTTTCCAGAGAGGCTCTCAAAGGGATAACTATACACTTATTTGCAAAACACCCTTGAGAACATGTATCATTACCTCCATTTAACAGATTAAGAGAAGGGGCTATGGGGCTGACAGTGGATCAATGACAGAGCCAGGAAGAAAACTCACTGTTCATCAGTGTTGAATTCCTATTTTCCTAAGTTAATATTCCTTTGGGAAGAAAAAATAATGAGTTTTTTAAAAATATTGCATTCTCTTTGGAGGCAGGAATGGAGAGGGGCATAAAGTTTTAAAAAGAGAATGAAGTGGTTACTGGACTTAAGACCTGGTATCTAGAGTATTAATAACATCTAACCAATTAGATTTGGTTCTAAATTCAGAAGTGATCCTAATTTTCTGTAACAATAACTGAATAGGGAAGGAAGAGGAACCATTAGGTTTCCGGGATCTAATCGGCATCCCCTGAAAATGACCTGCTCCTTCAATTATGCATTTTTAAATATAGGTGAAATGAAAAAATAAATATCAAAGAATATTTCCAACATGATCTTTACAAACAAGCACAACAATTGGCAGGGGGAGTCAGTGAAAGAAGAAAAGCACGTGACAATAACTTAGGGTGATTCATTTGAGATCCGCACAGGGTGAGAACGCTTCTCCCCACTCTACCAGGATTGGGTCTAAGAGGGAGAGGAAAGGTACAGAGAAAGAGCCACCAGGACCAAGCTAGCTTTTCCCCTCAGTCACAGGCTCCTGGGCTGAATGCTGGGTTTCAAGACGACACCCTTTCCCTGGCACTTTAGTTGATAAAGAAACACACACAGCTGCTCAAGTCCTTGGCCAGTATGTCAGTATGCAGGGACTCCCCTGGGAGCCCTGTCCAGGACCATTATTTTCAATAGTGTTCAATGCTGGTTAATGCCCTGAATGCCGCCAGGAACAGAGGAAGACAGCCTGCCCAACAAGGGGCAGAGAAAAACCATCAGAGACCCGCTATGCCTATGGATCACAGATAGGCACCAATGAGCACAAAAGCCCATCCTCATCCATTATAAAATCATACACCAGCCAGGAGAAGTGGCTTCTGCTGGGCAGTATACAACGGAGGAGGCGCTTTCAATCTCTCTGAACACACATCCTGGCTTTCTCTACCTCCGGCACCAACTAACACACCGACAAACAGGACAGGTGTGTACAGACAGGGCCATGTTTCCCAGTTTTGCATCGAGCCATCTGATCTGCAGCTCTTACTACAGCCGTGACCTTGTAGGGGCTAGGCTAACAGCAGCTTCCAACAGCCTTGAACAAAACCTCCTGGCACGTCCCCACCCACTCACTGAGATCAGTACCACTAGTACCTCCTGGAGCCCCTAGTCAATTCCCTTCCATGCGGGGCAAAGTGAGGGCCACAGCCACCCCGCTGTCTGGGCACAGGCCCTGTGGCCTCGCTGGATGGCCCTGTTCGGCCAGCTCACATCACTCCAGGTAAGGACGGGCTGGACTCGGTCCTTCGTAGCTCGACAGGCACGTGTCCCTGATGCTTCAGTGCAGCTTCTGATTTGGCCCACAACTGTCCTGCCCCCATCTATTTTCCCTCTCTCCTATGGATTTTGCTTTTTGTTATTTTTGAGATGAACCTGTAAACGTGAGAACTCAGAGATCTGAGGTACTTCACAGAAACACACTCAAGTATCAGTCTTCCATTTTCTGAAACAACACAAGTAAAACAAGTCCCTTTCCCTCTCCGCTCAGCAACGTGTGCACCTTCCCACTTGGCTACCAGTGGCTACCTCTGCACCACATCACTGATTTCCTGCACACACGACAGTAAGTTGTTAAGGACAGGGTTTGCCCCGGGCACGCCAGCGGCTGTGCAAGACACCTGCAGCTCCTGCAGGCTGAGTTCCAGTTTGCTCACAGCCTCTCGGAAGGCAAATTTGTTGCGAGTTTGGGGGATGCAGTCCACATAGCCTGAGCAGTAGTCGAGCAGCTGGTGGCCAGTGTCCACCAGCTGGCTGTTGGGCACAGGTTCCGTGATTGCACTGGACAGTAGGTCTGCACATTCCAGCAGGGCCTCCTTGCTGATTTTGCCGGCTGAGATTTTCTCGGCCACCTGTTTGGTTTTTCTCAGAGCCACTTTAGTACCTGCTGTGCCATTGGCCATTTTGGCTGGCGAGATGGAAGATGTGGGGAGAGGCACTTGAGGTGGAGGCATCACAGGCCTCCCAGCTTTCCCACTGATGGGCACCGCCCCTGGAGCCGCCTTTTTCCCCCCGTCCTGTGTTTCTGACTTGGGCTGGACTGCAGTCGGGGCGATCGGCTCTTCCGTGGAGTCTGAGCACATGGACGGATGCTGCAGTAGTCTCATCACTGGTGGTGGGGGTGGGGCACACTTTGGTTTTACCCGGCGGGGTCGGTCCTTGTCTCCAGAGGAAGTGACCTGATGCTCTGATAAGAGCTTGAATTTATTCCCCTGAGAGTCTGTGCCAATGAGCTGCACGTCAGCTGGAGTGTGCTTCAGAGTGGGCGAGATAAGGACGGGCACTTTGTGGTTATGAGTGGTCGGGAGGACCGCAGCAGTCTTGGCTGGAGAAGCCCAGCAGGCCTGCTCGCCATCCTCTGGGACTCCAGCCATGCCAAGTCGTGCCCCACCATTCCTCTCCTTGCTCTTGGGGGCAGCTGCCACTCCAGCCACCCCCAACCCTGGAGAATCCTTCTCTGTAGTGGCTGGATCCCCAGAGGGGGTTCTGAGAGGAAGACCGGTGCCTCCTCTGGGCAAAAGTTTGGCTTTTGGTCTCTCCCTGGTCGGAGCGGCACCTTCCTCTGATTTTTTTGGAAGCGTGTCATTGGCCCTGTCCACATTCTCTTCTGGCTGAGAAGAGGTGGACACTGTCCTTTCCAGCTGGAGTTTGGACCTCTGGCAGTTCCTGGGAAGGGTCATTGCCATCCTATCCTGCTCTGGAAGCCCTGAGGACATGGAAGATGTAGAGTTTGACCTTGGAAAAGGCTTGGAAGTGTCATCACTGGCTGTGGGTTTACCTGCTCGTAAGCCCAGTGTCTTTTTGATTAAGCGTGGTGTAAAGAAGCCTGTAATGCCAGACCACCCGCCCCCAGCAGCGCCACTGCCCCCATCCCCACCACCGTCGTCATTACAGAGGTTCCTCTGTGCAAAGCTACCCCCATAGCACTTGGGTGGCGCCAGACTCGCTTCTTGCTGGGCAGGAGTGAGAGAGAACCCTTCAGCATGCTGCAGAGAAGCAACAGATGAGAAGTTACCCGTCAGTTCGTATTTCTTGTGGGGCTGGTTCTCCATTTCTCGGAAGGAGCTGCTGCGTTTGGGGGGTGTGGGAGCGTTTCTCTTTTTCATAAAGGAGCTGAAGAAGCCTCCCTTCCTATCTCTGGTGAAGCATGTCTCTTTGGCGTCTTCCAAGAGGCTGCTGGGTGACTTGTCTCTCTGCTTTCGAGGCAGTGCTGGGGACCCACTGGGGGCCTGTGCACTTCTAATGAACCCTGATTTAAAAAAAAAACAGAACAGCCAATCAGTATTGTGAAAAGTAAGTGACTCGCCTGAGTTACTAAGGCTGGATTGTGAAGAGTGTTGTTGGCATCTATTAAAAGTCAAGTTAGCAGGACTCAGAGAAAACTAATTAATACATTATCATGTCACACTGCTGTTCCAAATGTGATGTGACATATAAATGGAAAAAAATAAACCTGCTGGTTTTTACCTCAGCATCCGTCTTTTCTCTAGCAACTGCAGCACAACCTGGTTTCACCTATCAGACTCAGTGAAGAAATTTTTGCCAGAACCATAAGGACTGCAACTATTTGAGAATCAGGAGTGGGAGGCAGAGTTGTGTGATCACGACTACTAACACTGGCAATGCAGGGCCGTGGACTAGAGTGGTAAATAAAGCAGATGCCCGCCACGCTTTTCCTTGAGGAAGACGGGCAGGAAAGTGGAAGGAAAAGCTTCACACCCCACGGCTCTTCAGACAAGGCAGTGTGCCTCTTCCTCCCTAGGGGCCCGTACCTGGTGCTGAACTGGAAGCAGAATTCTCTGCGGCATCTTGTGCCCCCTCAATGTTCTCCTTGTTCTCCCCCTGCTTCTTCAGCGTCCGGGTCTTGGAAGGAAGTAGAGGCAATCGGGGCAGATACGGAACCACAGAAGAGGAGGCGGCGGCCCGCCCAAGCTCCTCAGCAACCTCTGTGTGGGGGACGGGCAATGATAAAAAGAACAATTTCATGACAAAAAAGAGAAAAGGGAGTTTTCTCTTCAGAAAAGGCAGACAACTGAGAGGACCTGAAGAATGGAGTACTAAAATGTGTAAGTGGAGTCACAAAGTATGTACCCTTGGAGCCTGGGCTTACTTTTGCTCAGCATTCTAGCTGTAGATTCATCCATGTTACTGAATGTGGAGGGGGGTTTTCCTGTCGCTGTGTATTGTTCAAATATGTGAATACACCAAAATTCATCCATTCTCCTCTTAAAGAATGTTGTTTCCGGTTTGGGGCTGTTATGAATATACTGCCAGAAACATCCTATTGTGTGTCTTTGACTGCAACAATGGTATGCACGTATGCTAGATACAGGAGCAGGACCAGTGGGTCACAGGGCCAAACTGCCTTCCCAAACTGGCTGTCCCAATCTGCATGCCCACTAACTTACAGGAAAGTTTTGGTTACTACACATGCTTGCCAAAGTTTGATGTTTGTTCGTCTGATTTTAATTTTAGTGTTCCTGAGGTAGGTGTGTAGTGGCCATTCATTGTTTTATTTTGTACTTCTCTGATGATCTGTGATTTCACATGCTCACCGTTCAATTGGATATCCTTATTTACTAAGTGCTTATTCAGAGGTTGAACAAAGCAAATAGCTATCTGCAGATATTTTTATTTTCAGGTTGTGCCTTGCAAAAAAAAAAGGGGGGGGCTAGATACAATTTATTTCATGCCAATGAAGCAAATGAGGCTCCTGAAAATGTGTTCACCCTATTAGTAAGCCTCAGCTGATTGAAAGTGGCCATGGGTTTTGTGGCTTTTAATAAGATAAAGACTCACTTTACTATTCATTCCTGAACAAAAATGAAGTATGGATCAAACATTGGAATTTTGTAATGTACAACATTTTTGGTAATTATTTTTCAAAATTGATCCCCCACAAGTGTGAGTACATAGCACATAATTAATTCAAGCCATGCCAGTGAGATTCCAATGATATTCAGGATTTGACTCCGCATGAACTAAAGGGTAGAGAAAAGTGCTGTGACAGGAAGCTGCTTAAATTGGCCCAGAGAGCGAGCTGTGCCCTCCCCAACCTGTAAAAGTTCCATATATAGAAGGATGAGGATGGAAATACTTGTCATTAAACTCTGGTGGTGTACTTTTCCTTTTCTGCTTAGGAAAACACGATAAATCACTAAAGGAAGCAGGAAAAAAAATCAACTTGCCTAATTTCTTCTTCAAACATTTTTTAACTTGAAATTAAGTAGTGAGTGCTCTGTTCAATTATGAAGAAAAAGAAAAATTTGAAAAAACATGTATACAAATCTGGAACTACACCAAAATGTCTAATATGCAAGTATAACTCAGAATTGTGTTTTTAGCTCTCTCAAGGAAGAGCCCTTCTATCTTTTTAATTTTATTTATTTCGTTTTGGCTGCGCTGGGTCTTTTGCTGCTCTCAGGCATCCTCTGATTGCGGTGAGTGGCAGCTACTCTCTACTTGCAGCGTGCGGGCTCCTCATGTGGTGGCTCCTCTTGTTGCAGAGTGTGGCTCTGAGCACACAGGCTTCAGCAGTTATGGCGCGTAGGCTCAGCTGCCCCACAACATGAGGAAGCTTCCGAGACCAGGGATAGAACTCATGTCCTCTGCACTGGCAGGCAGATTCTCAACCACTGGATCACCTGGGAAGTCCAGTCTCTCTCTTCCTAAGAAGTTTATTTATTTTCTGACTGGGCATTTAATCTGTTCAATATTGATTTTTACTTAGCCTCACCAGGTCTTAGGTGCAGCAGCAGGATCTTTGATCTTCAGTGAGACATGTGGGATCTTTAATTACAGCATGCAAATTCTTAGGTATGGCACGATGGATCTAGTTTCCTGACCAGGGATCCAACCCAGGTCCCCTGCATTGGGAGCTCACAGTCTTAGCCACTGGACCAGCAGGGAAGTCCCAACAAGTACATGTACTGTTTGACTTCTGCATATAATTTTAAAGAGGCATTATACACAAAAGTAGGAAACTTCTTGTATGTGTCCATATACTTGTTTTCTACATAAGAAAAAGATTCTCACTGTTCATAGCTTAGCTTATTTAACATTCTCATTCTAAACTCCTGTGTCAATATATTTAAGAATATAATTTTAACTACTCAATTATAGGGATGTAATAATTAACATACTGGATATTTAAATGGTCTTTGTTTTTCAGTATTATAAACTACACTCTGAAGTAACACCCTTACTGCTAAATCTTTGTTCATACTCCTAAAATATCTCAACATTAAAAATATGAGCTAGAGAGACAAAGATACATTTTAAAACAGCAAAAGAAAAAAAAGAAAAAGTAAAACAATAACAAAGGCCAAGAATCAATTCAATATCCTGAAATGGAGTCCCAAATTATAAGACACTATCATTTTTGGAATGTTATCATCCCCAGCACCCAGAACTAGCCCCCACCAACAGTAAATCACCAGGTTCTCACCTTCAGAAATGCTGGAGTCATGGAACATGGTTTCAAAAGCTTGATGTGTTTCAGCAAATGAGGGCCTGTCGGCAGGGCTCCACTTCCAGCCTATGTAACCAAAAAAGAACAGTAGTAAAAGCTTCTTGGCAGAAATTAAATATTCAGGGCACACCTGAGGGTAAGTTCCAAGCACTGGGACATGTGCTAGCTAAAGCACAGTTAGAACAAGTCCGCAGTGACAGTGAGGCAGCTATTTCTTAGTTTCAGCCCAGAGGTGTGATGAACCCACGTCCTAGGGCCAGTCCTTCTATGCCGTCTCAGCTCCTCTTCCCTCCACTAGAGGAATGCAGAGTGGGTGGGGAGATGGTTTAGAAAAGTCTTCTCCCATTGGAAGAATGAGAAGTAGTAAAATCTGTCTACTCACTCACTCACAATTAGTTGTACACATTCCAAAACATAACAGTGTATCAGAAAAGGGGAGTTTGGAATTCACATTTGACAAGAGCAGTAGGCAATCAATGCTCAATGAGAAAATAATGAGACTCAAATACATTGCAGTTTAATTCACTATTCACCTCCCCACTTTTTCATCTTTAAGTAGTCAGATGCTCTTGTTTACACATCACAGAAGTCACTTTCATGCATTCTCGTCTTCAACACTCATTTTGTGTAGCTGACAGCAACCCTCCCCAACCTAATCTCCAAATCCATTTTTCATTATCTTATCATACATGCAAATGTTTCGGGAAACTGAGTGAGTGTTTGGGCCATGGACAATGATTCATAGGATTCCAGTATGACTCAGTAGTAGAGCATACAGTATCCCAACTGGTTGATCAGTGACCAACTCTATGTCATGAGGCTGAATACAATCTTACAACATTGATAGGAAAAATGTTTTCAATTTTGTTAATCATCCTGAATTAAACTACTTCAAAATTAAAATATGCAAGAATACTCACATGCCCTCATAAGTTCATACACCTTAGGGGGACATCCTTCAGGCTGTTCCATTCTATATCCTTTTTCTAGCAGATCATAGACCTGAGACAGGTCAATACCTGGATATGGTGACATTCCATATGTAGCAATTTCCCATAAGAGCACCCCAAACGCTGCAGAAGGGATTTTTAAAAAAGAGCTTTTATGTTTCTTCTGATTTATCATTTATATCATTAAGTAACTTCTCTTTCAAACTTTCACAATGTTACATTAGTAACTCTTATAATTCTTAAAAGGTGACTTGTTCTTCTAAGATATTTTCCACAGGAAAAATTTAGGTATAATCTAAAGACAGTTTTCTTTGTATTTCCCAATTTTGGGGACTTCCCTGGTGGTCCATTAGTTAAGACTCCATGCTCTCACAGCAGGGGGTACAGGTTCAATCCCTAGTCGGGGAACTAAGGGCCACATAAGATACAACCAAAATAAACACATAAATAAATTTCCCAATTTTTATTTGGATTTCCTTTACAATGAGGGAGAATAATCTAGGACCATATAAGAAGTCTGGGGCATAATCAAAACTATTCTTAAAGCAATTTACAATCTATTTAATGAGTTGCACAATTTTTAAGTCACTAAAGGAAGAATATAAAAATGGACACATTTGAAATCAAATAAAATTCACATGTGAAGAAAGAATTCGCTTGATTCTGTCACAGGTTACTCTTGAGTTTGAGATTGCTGGTAAAACATGATCTAGCATTCTCAACTATTTCTACTGCCCAAAATCCAAACATCCAGACTCGTTCTGTCCCTCAAGTCTCTACTAAATAATATTCCTTTTCAGGGCAGCAGAAACAAGATCAGTTACAAGGACAAATTCTAGATAAAACTTCACCATGCCTTCCTTGAAAAGAGGTTACCATTCTGTGTCACAGTGCTCTAGATACAAGCAATAAAGTCTAATGTGGAAAACAGGGAGCTTTATAGAGAGGATCATTAGAACTTCAGTGCAATATAGTATCTATAACTGTGAGTGCTCCCAAGGCAGGGACTTTTTTTTTTAACTTTATTCTTTAGAGTTTCTTTCTACACTAAGTACCCTGCAAATGCCCAGCAGATAGTATTTATTAATAATAAATGCTTCCTGATTAACTGAAGAAGGATGGGTGTAAAGGCAGAGGATACTGATCATATACAAAAAAATCAGCTCTAAAAAATTAAGCATTGATGTATAAAGAAAATGACACAGAAAAACGTCCCTTCCAACCTTACCCCAGACATCAGATTTAATTGAGAAGGTATTGTAGGCAAGACTCTCTGGTGCTGTCCATTTAATAGGAAATTTGGCTCCAGCGTGAGCAGTATAGGTGTCTCCAGTCATCAATCTACTTAAGCCAAAGTCAGCCACTTTTACCACATGGTTTTCTCCCACCAGGCAGTTACGAGCTGCAAGATCCCTGTGGGAAAGAAACCCTACTGTGACTCTATTCAGATGGTTCTGGAAAATGGTCATGAATGCTCTATTATCAGTTCTTTGTGCTACAAGCAGAGTTTGATAAGTAAGTGCTGACAGGTATGGTAGTATTTCACGAAAATTGCTAACATGGTAGAAAGCCACTAATTATACATCTCTTGTAGAATACTCACCAAGAGGCAGTTATGTGATGCCACAACAAAGCAGGCTTCAGAAAACCAGTTCCTATTTATAAGTGCATTAGGATAGGTTTCAGAGGTGGGTAACAGAGGTTTTAGTTTCTTTACTAAGACAGAAAACTATTTTTAAAATCAAGCCACTAGATGGAGCAAAATGATCTTGGACTTAGTCCTGGGCAAAATAAAGAGCCTTCTGTTCTGAGAACAGCAAAGGCCCTGCATTAGTACTTTAATCAGAGGACACAGTAGGTTTCTAAGTTGGAAATGACATTACAATGGTCCTTGAGAAAAGAGAAAACTACTTTCCTGAGTTATCGGATATGCATGTCAGCTTCCTGGTTAGTCACAGGTGATAATTGGGTTTTACACACCTATGGATGAAATTCTTCTTCTCTAAATACTCCATTGCAGAAGAGATCTGAGTGGCCATGTAAAGCAGTACAACTGCAGTCACCTCTTCTCTGTTGCATTCTCGGAGATAATCAAGCAAGTTCCCATAAGGCATGTATTCAGTCACAATGTAAAATGGTGGCTCCAAGGTACACACACCTGATAGTTCAAAGAGAGCTTGTTTTATCAGTATATATTTAAACACTCCAACCACTTTGGCAAGAATAACTGACAACTTTTTAGAAGCTAGTCCAGCAGTAATCTTTTCCTTTCCTGCCATTTCATTCTCTGAAAAGAACACAGCAACGTTAAGAAGCTGGATGACAGTGAGTTTCTACTTCCAATGATACCATGCTCTGGAAATTCACATGCATTTTGAGAATGTGCCTGTTTGAACAAAGGCAGAGTTACTTGCATTAATTCCATAAGGGGTCAGGACCACCAATACCTCTAGAGTTCTGTATGCGCCCATGATTTCACATCCTCAACTGCCTCCTGCTGACAATGTTTATCTAAAAGTAACTGCAACTGTTCACACGGTAAAGACTATGTGAGCCCAGACTGCAAGGATTTCATTATACACAGCAGACTCCCAGTAAAAATCCAAAAGAAGCGATTTCCTTTGGGATAGTTTGGCTCAATGAACACCCAAAGAAACTGGCCCTATTTTTAAAAAGGGCAATTGTTTCAGTCAAAGATTTCTCTGTGACCTGAATAGGTGAGAAGCCTATCGATCACTGCAAAGCACTTGGGTGGTCACAATTTTTAATCTGTTTCTTTTCAACAGTCCTTTGCTTAATGTCTCTTTATTTTGTAAAAAATATTTTGGGATAGTTTGGGGTTTAGTATCATTTGAATGATTCTGAACTTTGGATCTGGGCAATCAACAGAAGCTGGGCAGTTCCATATACTGCAATCAATCCCAGTCACTGTTTCTTGGGTAATTTTAAAACACAGAGACTGCTGATTAAAATAACAGCCATTTATTGAAATAGATTTACACTGAGAGCTTCTGCCATGGTGATACAAAAGGAGGATTGGGGGACAGCAGAGGGTTGGGAAACAAGCATCTTTGAGGAAACCTATGGTTCAGACACGCTGCCTCACCTAATAGCTGTACCAGGTTAGGATGCTTGATTTCCTTCATCACTGCAGCTTCCTTGAGAAATTCCTCCACCTCCATAGTATCTTCCTGGAAAGGGGGGAAGATAAGATAGAAAAAGAGGAGAGGGACAAGCCCCCACCTTAATCATTTGAGTCAACTCACACTCCTAAAACTTCAGTTTTAAAAGGGGGTTAATCTTTTGGATATTTTAGCACTTACTTCAAGAAATTTTATTGCTGCATAGTGTGCTCTGTATAAGTCCAATTAAGAAAGAAAAATATCTTCTTTAATTTATTCAGTATTTGAAACTGAAGTAAAATTTAGTAGGGTAAGTAAAATTCAGCAATCATGTCCTAGCACAACTGAAACACAAAAGACCTGGATAGACAATTCAATTCTCTGAAAAGATTCTTTCTGGATAGCTCAAGCCTTTGAAAGAGGAGCCAGAACAATTAGCTGTTTACATATTTGTCTTGCTGACAAATTCCTTAAGGAGCAAGGTGTGTCTGCAAGGCTGCGCATACTGGTTCACACGCAGACCAAGCGCTTAATAAATGCTTGGTAGAAGAACTGACTACAACTCAGAGGTGAAGAGCAGTCCTTAGCAGTCTTCCAGAGTTACTGAGGCATATGAGAAAATCTTCAGAGAATGGGATGAATGACAAAACTTGTAATTCGCTACCAGGATGCTTAAAGGAGAGAGAGAGGCTGGCATCAGGAAGAAGATTTGTGTGAATATGAAGAATAAGGTGATCTAATCTCAGGGAGATGGGAGAAACAAGCAGCAGGGAGACAAAGGACAGAACAAGAGAGTGATTCTCCAACAATGCATGGAGAATTCTGCCCAGCAGGGGTTATTCTGAGGAAGGAAAACAGCTTGCTTTGCTTTCACAAGTTATAATTTGCTTCTAACCTCCCACCAAGATCTGTATCAACAGCCTCCAGAGACAAACCTTCCCCACATGTGGGTTTCACTGCGTTGCAGTGAATAATCTGCCCCTGCATTGTCAGCAATGGCACCAGGGTTAATTATCACAATTTGCTGATGTGCTTGGCACCAGTGGGTGGCAAGTGTTCCAAAGTTAAAGAAGGGCACACTGGTATTTCCAAGTGATTCAGCACAAAAGAAAAAGACTCCTGAAAACTGTAATTCTCAGCAACCCACCTTCAATGTTTTCACAGCAACCGTAAGGCTGTATTTCTTCCAGACGCCAACGTAAACCTCTCCGTACTGACCACCCCCAAGTTTGTGCTTCATGGTAATGTCTGTTCGTTCCATTTCCCATTTGTCATGGATGGGGGACACACCATAGACTGTAGGCTTATTACACTTGGGCGCTGGATAGTGTAGTGTTGTCACCAGCCCATCAGCCACCGTGGAGTGATGGTGAACAAGCTCGGCCAAAGTGCTGAAGCGGCTCTCAGCAGTTACATACACCTGGTGAGGAGAGCGGAGAAAAATAAACCAACTGAAGAGGGATCCTGATCTCACTGGTCTCAAGATAGGAAATAAGCAGCATTATTCACAATAGCCAAAACACGGAAACAACCTAAATGTCCATTGACAGATAAAGATGATGTGGGGTGTGTGTATAGCAATGGAATATTACTCAGCCATAAAAAAGAACAAAATAATGCCATTCACAGCAACATGAATGCAACTAGAGACTATCATACTATGTGAAGTCAGTCAGAAAGAGAAAGACAAACACCATATGATATCACTTATATGTGGAATCTAAAATATGACACAAATGAACTTATCTATGAAACAGAAAATCACAGACAGAACAGACTGGAGGTTTCCAAGTGGGAGGGGGTCGGGGAAGGGATAGAAGGGGTGCTGGGGATAGCAGATGCAAACTGTTATATACAGAATGGATAAACAACAAGGTCCTACTTATAGCGTGGAGAACTATATTCAATATTCCATGATAAATCATAATAGAAAATAATATAAAAAGAATGTAGACGTATGTATAACTGAATCACTGTGCTGTATAGCACACATTAACACAACATTGGAAACCAACTATACTTCAATTTTTAAAATGCTGATTTTAAAAAAAAAGATGAAAATAAGGCGCTATCTTACTGAGATAAATGGAAGAATTACGGAAGAATTTAACCATGATGGTGGGGGGCTGGGTGGAGGGGGGGGGCAGCCAGAGAACTTCAGTTTAATATCATTTAAACTACTCTTCTTATGATTCCTAAAGTAGCTCGAGTCTCAAGGGGAAAAGCTTCTATCTCTCTGGATCATCAAGATCACTGTTCTTCAAACATTTTTAAGCTGAACAACTAAGGAACCCAAATATAGAAGATAAAGAAAGAGAAGTGCTGATTAAGGTAGGTAATAGGGGACTGGCTTCTTGTAAAATTTATGAACTCCCACCTCAGAATCTTACACAGAACATAATTTGAAAACCACTGATTTTAATTTTTTTGGTAGAGAGAAGGATTCAAATATCTTATGATTTTTATTTCATGAAGATGCTCTTTTGAGTGTCCAAGCAATTTTTGAAAAAGAGCCACAATTTTATTTCAAAAAGTAAACAAAACAGTAGTTAATTTGTGATAAGCAAGAAGAAGGATAAAGTAGGATAGCAGTCTCTGAGCCTTATCTTCCAAGGGAGCTTGTTTATTTTTTAAAAAAGAGATTTCTAGTGTATACAGAAGAGCATACAATGAATAAATGGAGAACCAATGAGTTCTATAAAGTGAACTCACCCATGATAAACATCTCCCACACAAGAGAATTATAGTATTACCAGCACCCAGCAGCCTCCCCCCTGCCTCCCAGATACTGACCCCTCCAAGGTAACCACTCTGCTGACTTCTAACACCTTAGATTAGCTTAGATTGTGAACTGTACCTATGCAAATGGAATCACAGTAAGTATTGTTTTGTGCCTGTTTTCTTTCACCCAACTTTTTTTACTGTGATATAATTCGTATATTTCACCACAAAATTCACAATTTCAATTGTGCAATGCAGTGATTTTTAATAAATGCATTGACTGTCCAACCATTACCACTATCTAATTTCGGGACATTTTCATCACCCTACAAAGAAACCCCAGACCCATTAGAGGTCATTCCCACTCCCCTCATCCCATTCCTCAGTAATCACTAATCCCTTCTACTCAACTTGTAAGAGATTCATCTATGACTGTTCTAGAGGGCCAGATAATATTTCAGGTTTGTGGCCACAGCATTTCTGTCATTACTCAAGTCTGCCGTAATATTGAGAAAGCAGCCATAAAGAATACATAAACAAATGGGTGTATCTGCATTCCAATACAATTTTATTTACAGAAGTAGGCAGCCAGTGGGTCACAGTTTTCCTAGTAGTGTGTGTAGCAGTACCAGGTTCACCCTGTATGAGACTCCACTTTACAAAGATACCACAGTTTATTAACTCAGTCCACAGCTGGCAGACAGTTGGGTGTTTCTAGTTTCTGGCTACTACACGTAACTCTGCTATGGACACTCCTGAACATGTCTGCTGAACACACAAGCTCTCGCTTCTGTTGGGAAGACAACCAGAAGTAGATCTGCTGAGTGGCCCTTATATCATCACTTATCTGATTCTGTTTGGCTTCACGAAGAAAAAATATGTCTTATAAGGTGATGCAAAGAAAATTAATCATTTACTGCTTCCTACCTTTTACCAGCCATTATCTTTTATGGAAATTATCTCACTGAATGCTTCCAATAAAATGGGATGGGAAACTGAGGCTTAAGTAAGGTCACAACGTGAATAAATGATGGAGTTACCCAGCACACCAGATTAGCTTGCTCTAAAGCCTATGCTTTTCCCCTACTATTCATATCACAAAGAGAGAAAGAGTGGAAGAAACAATTCAATCTAAATTTATTGTTCACAGTGTGGAAATTCCTTAAAACACTGGAAATAGAACTGCCATATGACCCAGCAATCCCACTCCTGGGCATACACACCAAGAAAACCAGATCTGAAAGAGACACGTGTACCCCAATGTTCATCGCAGCAGTTTATAATAGCCAGGACATGGAAGCAACCTAGATGCCCATCACAGACGAATGGATAAGAAAGCTGTGGTATATATACACAGTGGAATATTACTCAGCCATTAAAAAGAATTCATTTGAATCAGTTCTAATGAGATGGATGAAACTGGAGCCCATTATACAGAGTGAAGTAAGCCAGAAAGAAAAACACCAATACAGTATATTAATGCATGTATGGTAACGATAACCCTATATGCAAGACAGAAAAAGAGACACAGATGTATAGAACGGACTTTTGGACTCTATGGGAGAAGGCGAGGGTGGGATGATCTAAGAGAACAGCATCGAAACATGTATATTATCAAGTGTGAAACAGATCGCCAGTCCAGGTTGGATGCATGAGACAAGTGCTCGGGGCTGGTGCACTAGGATGACCCAGAGGGACTGGGTGGGGAGGGAGGTCGGAGGGGGGTTCAGGATGGGGAACACATGAAAATCCATGACTGATTCATGTCAATGTATGGCAAGAACCACTACAATATTGTAAAGTAATTAGCCTCCAACTAATAAAAACAATTGGGAGGAAAAAATAAATAAATAAAATAAAATAAAAAATAAATAAATTTATTTTTCAAGGACTTCCCTGGTGGTCCAATACTTAAGAATCTATCTTGCAATGCAGGCAATGTGGGTTCAATCCCTGGTCAGGGAACTAAGATCCCACAGGCCACAGAGCAACTTAGCCTGAACGTCATAACTATAAATTTACTGTTCAATAGAAGAACTGACATAAACCTATGCTTTACCGTTTATAAAGTAAGACAGTTCCATTCTAACATAGCCATTCTTACACAGTTGGTGTTTCGAGCCTACAAAGTGCTAAATGATTGATTGACCTATTTACATTAACATACATTAATGATCAACATCTGTCTCAGAAGCCTAAAGTTTTACTCTTTAAACTTTCTGGTAGAGATTATTATAATTTTCATAGATACAAGGTTTAATTTATAAAATTCCACACATGTATTGGATGTGCATGTGCATATCCGTATACTGATGATGATGGTAACAGTTAACTTATACAGCTGTTTCCTTCATTTTTCACCTTCAAATCTAGCTCATCTTTAAACTCTTAAAGTAATACTGTTTTTAATTTCCATTACTGTATTGTTTTGAAAAGAATAATCTCTCTCTCACATGCCAAACAGCTCAAACTCACATCAGTGATTAGTTTCTTTCATGTAAGACATAAAAATTATATTCTTTAGTCATCCTGAACATTGTTTCTAAAGACCAGGCCCACTCACACCAAGAAGTGGTTGCCGGCCAGTCTTACCTGGCCATCTGCGGTGGTGTTGATCCTGTAGTGATACACACGCCCCTCGTACCTGAGCGAGATTGACAGCTGCCCGGGGCTGCTCTCGCTCTCTCGCACCAGGAAGCTGCCATTGATGAGACTGCTGAGTAGGTATTCTGCCGCACTCCGGGACACAGGTCCATGGTACCAGGAATGTTTCTCCAGGCTGTTCACAGGGGTGATGTAGTTGCTTGGCACCCAGCCTTGGCCATTCTTAGAGCGAACTTCACTCCACTCACCATTCTGGTTGTAACCAAGGACTCGGAGCTTTTCACCTGGCCAGGAGATCATCACAGAGTGAAAGAAAAGATGTAAGACTTTATTTCAAACAGAAGTAGTCTACTGTCAAGCTTGAAATTCACTGAAAAAATGAATCAAGAACTTTTAAACCAAAACAATTTTTTTAAAAGTAATGAAAATGAATTTTGCTAGCATCATAGCCTGATTGATATTTTTAGCTTATAGCTTAAACAAAAGAAGCATACTTAGAAATGTTTTTCTGGTATTATCGATAGGGTTTCAAAAGCTTTTATACTACAGGAAACTCCATATATGTAACTAAGGTAGCACATAAAGATTAAAAGGTTATTCAAATGTCTGGAATAGGACATGGTCTCACGCCTCAAAAAAAAAAAATGAAATTAATTTTTTCCTCAAAAGAGTCTGTCACAGAACATATATATGGTTCAATGCTAGCAGCAATCAATGATTAGGGATTAGACATGTAAAACACAAAGTTACTTCTAAATTTCAGTTGGCAACAAGGCTACAAAAACCATCAATCCAAAAATAAAAACCAAAAAAGCACAGACCACAGAGCTATCAGCAATATTTCAGAAAGAAAAGTGAGGAGGTAGGGGTCGGCAGTCAAGACCTCAAAAGCACAACCTTTTCCAGGACTCAAGTTTTAAAATAATTTCCCTCCCATTCCCCATAATGAATGAATCCCCCATCTGCTCCTCTCAAATCAGTGTGTGGCCAAGGAAAGCTGAGTCTGAAGCTGGAGCCTAAGACTCAAGTTACTCAGAGTATCTTTGCTATCAATTTCAATGTCCTTGATTTCTCTAATGAAGTTGTATCAACTTCAGACTCCCTAAACATGCATCCTCCCCCTGTACTTGCAGCACAGGCAAAACAGGAAAGGTGAGAGATATCATTATCAATAAATGATAATTTAAAGAATCCTGAGACTTCCTTGGCAGTCCAGTGGCTAAGACTCTATGCTCCCAATACATGGGGGCATGGATTTGATCCCTGATCTAAGATCCCACATGCTGCATGGCAAGGTCATAAAAAAAATATAAATCCTTATAAGGCCTTACACCCCCATATCTGAGAGATGCAAGCCTTCCTATCGAGTTCACATCCACCTCTCAGTGTCAGACAACAGAAGAAAGCCGCAGCAATCAAAAGCACATGGCCCAGTACTTATCAAGCAAAGACTGTTGGGGAAAAACTCAAAATTATTATTCTGCCAGTCATCTAACTTTTTTCAGTGGTCCACAGAAATGTTTACCATAGTATGACTTTCTATTTGCCCCTACTATCTCACTCAAGACCCTGGGTTTTGAATCATTCAGTGAGAAAAAACACGGGTACGTGCACGTGCGCATGTGTGCACACACACAGAAAATATACACACATATAGATAGATAGTGTGTGTACATGTGGTGGTGGCAATGCACAAGTGTGCTGATAAACACTCCCCAATCATATCTGCAGGGAAAATAAATCTTAGTGTCGTCAGAAAAGCTATATAAGACTTGTCAGTCTGCAGCTTTTCTCTAATACTCTTAAGAAAATGAGAAGACTAAGTTCTTTACCAAGTACATTATTCTTCCTTACAAAGAACTGATAATGACAGGTCATCACAATCAGGATATAGTCGAACACTCTAAGTTTTGGGCTATTTGTTTTTCTCTTTTTTGACAGTTAGAAGGAGAATTTTCCACTCTGGAAGTTTTGAGTACCATGAAGATTAACAATGGAATAAACATTGACCCTATTGCCAGAGAAAACCTAATTTTTTAATTCAAGCAAAATATTGCCTTCAAAGAAAGAACTAAAATAAGTATTGTTAATAAGCTTTAGCATGACATTTTATATTAAATTAAAAATAAGAACGTGGATAAAAACCTGGCATTTCATAGGTTTTGGACTATACAGTCCATGGAATTCTCCTGGCCAGAATACCGGAGCAGGTAGCCATTCCCTTCTCCAGGGGATCTTCCCAACTCAGGGATCGAACCCAGGTCTACTGCATTGCAGGCAGAAACTTTATCAGCTAAGCCACCAGGGAAACCCTTAAAAGAAATCACTGTTGATTATAAGATAAACAAATTCCCACTTTTTGAGATGCATACTAGTAGTTGCCATAACTGGTAACTGATGAATCAAAAGACTTTCTTTATCAATGTATCCCTGGTGACTGAGCGATCTTGGAAAATACTGACATGAAAATTATATCTAGGAAAGAACGTTCTGAGTCACCTTCACCAACTTTCCCACTGAAGCACCTTAAACTAAAAGACTGTTGTAGTGCTCGCTTCGGCAGCACATTATCTAAATTTGGAACGATACAGAGAAGATTAGCATGGCCCCTGCGCAAGGATGACACACAAATTCGTGAAGCTTTCCATAATTTTTAAAGCAAAATAAATAAATATATTTTTTTAAAAAAGATTGTGTTGTAGCCCAAAGAGACTACCTACCACACAAAGTATAAAATATATCTGAAGTCCTGTATCCTAAAACTGTGTAAAATTTTCCTCCCATCATAAAACACAGTTCCACACACAAACAAATACCATCAAAAGCATGTATACATAACATCATCCCCACTCTGGCACATACATACACCCCAGAAACTCAGTTTTAAGCATTTCTGCTTTTGATGAATCTAGCTGGATTTTAAAAATTGTTATATAAAAATATTTTATTTCAGGGTAACATTCCTTGAGTGGAGACCTGTCTTCTTAATTTGGTGATTCACTCTCATTTACTATCTCATTTCAAACCTTACAAGTAAGAGAAGTATTGTTTGACAAAGAATCATTTAATTTACACTTTCAGGTAGCTAAAAATTATCCAGAATCTTATTTTTTCCTACTAAGAAGCTTTCATAAATTCGAAAGACAAGAAAAGTATAAGCAGATTATCAATCCAACTCACGTATACAACGACAATGCCCCACACGCCTATTTCTTTCTCATAAAAATTCCACATTTTCTGCCCTTGTTCTTAAAACCAATAATGGATGTTTTTTACATGATTATGTTCTTAGTGTTCTCTTTGTTAAGAATTTACTACTGAAAATAGTACTACTACTCTGTTACGAGTGTTATCGCAATAGAAACCCTTCCTACTAGTCTTTCCACTAACTCATATAAACACAAATGAGAGATAAGTTGTCCAGGCCAGTGCTACCCAAAGCAGGGCCACAACAAGATGCTTGTGCCAGAGTGTGAATCACTGGACCACTTTCTTCAGTTTTGTTAGAAAAAAAGAAATGTCAGCTGAACTAAATAATAAGTGTACTTAGCAATGTAGTTGTTTTACATTTTGAGTACAAATTCTTAATCTCAGTGTAGACGGTAATGAATGGTTCTCAGAAGTCAGCCCACAAAGGACGTTAGAGTAGCACTGGGGTCTGGAAACTGGACTCCTCTTAGTGAGCCCCAGTTCACTGAAAAGAGGTGTACGGTAAACCTCACCTTTGTGGCAAATAGATGCTGGCATATTACCTACAGAACAGAATTTTGAGAAGGAGTCAAGTTTATGTATATATTGTGCGGTGTTCTTTTTCTAAAGTACTTCGTCTCATTTGAACCTTGATAAAAACCCTATGAAGTAGATAAGGTGGCTTTATCCCCTATAAAGGTTTTAAAAACAGAATGAACCAGAGGTATCTGGGCCCAAATTACCTACCTAATTCCAGTCAGAGGCAGAATCCAGAATAGATCCCGTCATTTCTTAACCACCAATAAAAACCGAAAAGTGAGAAGACGTTATGCAGAAGCTCACCTTTAGTGATGCTGAGTGTGTTATCACCACTTGCTACAAAATCATAAAGTGCAACAAAGAGATTAGGGTCACTCTCGGTGGCTCCAAGCAGGTTCTCCTTGGAGCTCCACCTGATGGCTTCGTTCAGGGCCTGGGGTTCAACATCACAACCGTAGGGGCGGTGCAAGGCTTCTGAAAGACATAAAGTGAAAGGAGTTTACACTGAGTCCAAGAGCTGGAAATTCATTTGAATTCAGTACACAGACAGTATTTTAGCTGTTGGCATTATACTGATGGCTCCAGCAAGGAACAAAACTGTACACGTGGTGTGGAGTCATGAAAAATGAGCAGATGGCATGTCTCCGAAGCAGGAGAGAACTCTACTTGTTGAAAACATAACAAGATAGAGAAAAGAACACAAAATGAGCATTTAGCTGTGATGTTTATGCATGAACCAAAATCAGAGGTAAATGAACAGGAAACACAGTTTCCTCAACATGAAAGAATAAAAACAACCTCAAAAAGAAATGGCAGTTCATTTTATAAAACACAGAAGATACTTTGCTAGATGATGGTGGTTTTAAGAAGGAACGGTTATGTTTTATAAGTGAAGTCCTCCCTAAATACCTTTCTCCCCTTACTATCTCCATATAAAACAAATTGCAGAAAAGATAACATGGATTTTAAGAAATATGTATAGATTGTATTAATCCAGGCCCTCCATTTACATATAGAAAATTACACAAATAATGCTTTTAGAAAAAAAATCCTAAAATTATCTATCAAACAGAAAAGTGTTTTGGTTTAATACAAAATATTCTAGGCAACCCAAAATACCTTTGTACTGTCATGTACAGTCTATAACATAACAGCTTTCCACTGTTAATTGTTTTAATGAAAAAAATTTTTTCCTTTTCTTTTCATACACTTTTAATAAAATACTGTAACTTAATTAGGGCTCTAGAAAACACTGCCAGCAATGGACATGATTTACTGAGTTCCTATCACCTGTAATGGCTGAAGCCTTGTAAGACCTGGTTTCTTCTTCAAGGCTTTGTGGTTCCTTGTTTAGTTACACTAAACAAACAGGTGATCCTTATGCCATGTTAGTTAAAGATCACCTGCTTCTCACAGTTCAGGATAATCATACCAAAAATACACTGTTCTTTCAGTAGCAATTTTGTTAGTCACTAAAAATGGGTTTTAGTGGCACTCTGCCACTATGCAACTGCCTCTGTCATGTAACAATTCTTTTCTAGTATGTTTCTCTCTCTTCCACTCATTTTTAATTTAAACTTGGTGTTATCATATATGAAGAAGAAAAACCCTTGAATCTGTGGTTTTATTTTCCAATCCAATCCCTCCTCTCCACCTGTACTGCCAATGGCTTAGTTCAGATTCCCAACATCTCTCACCTGGACTACTGCCTCCAGTCTTGTCTCCCTCAAATCCATCCTCCAAACAGCTGGCAAAGTGATCTATTTAAAACAAAAATTTGACCATGTCACTCTTCTCAAGATTCTTCAGTAGTTCACCATCAAGTTAAAAATCTCTTTTAACAAGGCCTTCAAGGTCTCTTATAACCAGATCTCCACCTATTAATACTTCTCCAGCTTCACTTCTCTCCCATTCCACACCTTAAATTTTAAATTTGAAAAAACACCATGATGCTTCCTACCTTTCTGCCTTTGTTCACATAGTCCTATCTTCCCAGAATGTGAACTCATCCCACTCTTTTTTCTTTGACAGGCTGACTTCTATTCATTTTAAAAACACTCAACTTCAATGTAACCTCCCCTTGGAAGCCTCACATGCATTACACTTGCTGCAGTAATACCTCCTATTTTTATCCTCAATTTATGTTCATTCCCCCAACTTTTCAATGCGCTTCTTAACATAAGAACTTTATCTTTTTTCTTGCAAGAGTCACATAATATGTGTTCAGTAACTTTTGACTAAATGAATAACTAAGTTTCATAAAAATATAAGTGACAGGAAACAATGAGGTGTCTTTTAAACTTAAAATAGCATTAACTAATGTTTTTTAAATGGCTTCATAGCTGTCTATATTCTCTAGACAGAAATTCCTCTGTCTATAGACAGAGGATGCTCAGATGCTCAGATGCTTTCCTAACAGTTAATTTCATTCTTCACATTCCTTCTTCCTCTTAAGAAAAATATGTTTTTTTAAGTTTCACAGCTAATTAAATCATTTTACATTAAGAAAGTTACCACAAACCTGAAGATATGTCCAAATGTACTGAAAAGATAATTTGAAACGGGTATCTTGCTTCTTGTTTAAGCACATAATCATAGTGAATGTGAACAGCTGTATTATACACTGAGATAAACTAGGATGACCAAACTTGAAAAACTCTGACGGCTCCCTATCTTAGAATAAAAGCTGAAGTCCTTACGAGGGGCTTTGCCCAATTCATCTTCCTACCCTTCCTTCCCTACTTTACTTCATTCTGACTACTGGCCTCCCTGTTACTACCTGAACAAGACAGGCATACTCCTACCTCAGGACCTTTGTACTGGCTTTTCCATCTGCCCCAAACATTCTTCCCTAAGCTACTGACACGACATTTCACTCAAATGTTTCCGTCTTGGCATGGCATTCTCTAACCATCCTGTTTTAAAATGCATCTGTTCCTGACAACACTTCCACATCCCCTATGTCTCCTTAACTCATTTCTCTCCATTGATATATCACCCCCCAAAAGGCAATTTACTTACCTGTCATCATGTTCATGTGAGCTACTGCCCCACCTCACGAGAATATTAGTTTTATGGGAACAGGTATTTTTGTCTGCTTTGTACACTGATAAATTCCAAGCACCCAGAACAGTTACTGCATGTAAGAGGCTCTCAAAAACAGTTTATTGAATAAATGAATCACACATTCTGCTATAGTTACAGAGTATACACTGAGGACAGAAGACAAAATTCTGCAGTCAGAAAAGGTTCAAAGAAAAGGAAGCATTTAAATTGGATGAGCACACTTAAAATGGATTTCGCACTGATGACAGGCAAATGACAGACTGTCAAAATGCAAGGATATGTCTATGACATGTAATCATCTGTACTGGAGAGGAACTCCATCAAACTCAAAGGAGGATTTTTAAAGGCAAGTCAGCCTCTTAAAATCATGTTATTTGACAAAAGGAGAAAAGAGAATGAGACCTTCAGCACAATTTTATGAAAACTTAAACCATATACACATGCCAAACAATACTGTACATTTCTCAAATATACAAAATAATAAATACAGGAAGACAATCATTTCTGAGGCCGAAATACAAAAAGAACCACAGCTTGGAAAACAATCCTTTTTATTCTCCAATCCCCTTCCCATCTCTGGTTTTTACAGTCCATTTGGTCAAGTCAAACGATCTTATTTCCTTCCTTTCTTCTTTCTTCCCACTCACTCTTGTTCTTACAGAACTAAGGGTCAGTTTCCTGTACAATCTGCCTGCACAGGATATCCACTTAAACACCATCCCACCTACTAGCACCAAACAAAAGAGGAAATTTTCCAAAGACAAGAAACATCCTAACATTTTCTTGAGAATGAACATGTTTTAAATCATAAGGAGTTAAAGAGCTAAATGGAGGTGAAGAAGCTAAGGCATGAAGACAAAAAGGGGAGGGGGGCCTATAGGAAGTAAGTGCCACAGTGTTATCTAGTATATCCAGCCTATGCGCCTTTCCTCGTCAGCTTAAGACAGACAAATCTGGATGATTCAGATGTACCGCATCTGCCCAAATACAAGTACACAGGCTGGGAATGTTTTATTTTTGAACAATGTTAAGTGACTACTATATATAAGGTACCTTAGACAGTGAGTTATCCTTCATTAATCACTATTATGGAGGCACATCATGGACTCACCTTGAGGCAACAGAAGACTCTAATTTTTACTTATGAAATATGGAACTCAGAAATAGGTCCCAGCAGAAATACATTATGACTATTAAGAAAAGGTCGTTTTTTTTCCTACTGATATGCCTGCAGGATACAATAAAAATAAAGTAAAACTAGAAAGAGCAGCTTGTACAGAAAATTATCAGGATTAAACAAGACTCAAACTCAAATTCACAGATAAAATTAAACATTAAATTTAGGAATTATTAAAAACACTTTCAACAATTAGTCATTCAATAAATTTTATCAGTTTAAGTAGAAATTTGTCAGTTATTAATTGGAGAAATTAATAAAAAATTTCAGTTTAGCACAATTTCCAGGCATTTTTAAGAACACTTACCTTGCCAGAATTCTACTTTGTCTGACTGCATATTCTTAAAAACTAATACCTTTTTTTTTTTTGCCATGCCATATGGCTTGAAGGATCTTAGTTCCCCAAGCAGGAGTTAAACCCAGATGGGCCCACAGAAGTGAAAGCATGGCGTCTAACCACTAAACCACCAGGCAAATCCCTAAGGAAGCTAATACTTTTTAATACTTCTTTTAAAAACTATGTAGGGTAGTTGGATAAATCATTGAATTGTTCTCAATATCAAGCCATACATATCTTAATACTACAAAATACTACACATTATTCATTTATTCATTTATTCTTTCATTACTAAGGCCCTAACAGGGAAAAAACACTTGAAGCTTCACTGGCCAAGAATAAAGATGTTAACAACAGCAGTACAAATTTTTCGGAATCTCATTCATGCTTGATTAGTGTGGTTATCTACCCTCCCCCAAATGATCACCCCTATTTTCATACCTGTCAAGTTGGGGAGAGCTGTTCCTGAGGCCTCACTGCATAGACAGCAAAGCGATGTGTCCTGATCTCTGCCATAACAATTAGGTGGAAGCAGAACTGTCCCAAAGACCATTCCTCTGCCCAGAAGCACGAAAGTTTAACTGTTCTATGTACAGAGGAAGTCTTGGAATTCTACTCTCTGACAAGCAATACCACATGCATGTGACACTTATTCATGCACTCAGTGACCAGAGGGAACCAACGGCAGGGTAAAATTTACAAGTCCAAAGTGGGTGGAGAGTTACCTAAAGGGAAATGTCCAGTAATCAGCAAAACATTGAGTCAGAATGGAGTTACTTCAAACCCTCTGGAACATTTAGAAAAACTAAATAAGTAAAAACCAATACACATGAGTAACAAATGATAAAATACACAGGCGTCAGTGCATGTAGATGGGATTTCATTCCTAGGTGATGATGAAGTGAGACTGTAGAGAGGTTTCCTTGGAGAAAACGTGTTTACAATAAAACACCAAATACACTTTTAAGAGAGGAAACGCCTAACAAGAGTCATCTTTTGCATCACTTAAAGTAGTTCAAGAAACCACAAATCCAAAGTTAAAGAAATAGTTACACTCTGATTCATAAGTACAGAAGCCAGGAAATGACGGCCTTCAGTAAAATTTTGGCTCTATTGCTTAATAACGGTTAAAAACATGGCATGATAGCACTGAAAACTTAAAAGGTTTTGAAAGTAAAAACCTAATCTTTGTTAATATATAGGAACAAAGTTAAATAAAACTCAAGAGCCTTATAAAAATGAAACTAGCGAAATCTACCAATGATGGATGATTTTAGGGATATAACCTACAAAACTAATTCTAGAATGTCTGTTATTATACAAATATTTGTTAAGTAGCTGTTATGTACCAGACACTGTGCTAGGTTCCAGGTCAACAAAAGTAACAGGGTAAAATTATTGATAGTAAAACTGATACAGCCTTCAATAAAGATTTACAAAAGTTATAATGCAAGCTTAAAAAAAGAATGACTCTGGTGTAGGGAATAATTAACAGTTTTTAAAAAAACAAAGCTTAAAGAAACTCAAAGAAAAACTTTAACAAAACTTAACTTTAAAAAAACTCAAATTAACCTTTCATGAAGCCAGTACTGTTAACATCATGAGGAAAGTAAGTTAAATGACTAACGGGTTACCTCAAATTAATGACTCAGTATTTCAAATACCAGGTTGAATTTCTCCTTCCCTAAATTACAAAAAACAAAAGGGATAAGTGATGAGCATAAATATTGGCAGGTTTCTGAACATTATGAATAAAATCTTTGAAGTGCAAGAAAAAAAAAAAAACAAAAGGGAAAGGAGCTCCATAATTCATGTTCTATAGATATCTATATGCTATACCATATGATTTACTATTTAATCAGTAAATCTATTTAAATTACCAATAATGAATAGTTACATTTTTAATCCTCCTATATTGTAACCAGGAGTACAGAGGATGAATGAATAAACAAAATATGGTACACACAATGGAATTCATTCATAAAATTTATCCATAAAAAGGAATAAAATTTTTATATATGCTACAATATAGATGGGCCTTGAAAACATTATGCTAAGTGAAATAAGTCAGACACAGGACAATCCCACTTACATGAAATATGTAGAAGCTATTCTAGCTCTGGAAATCTAGTTCTGCACTTGGGTGGCTATGTAACACTGAATGTACTTAAGGCTACTAA